CTTGGTTTTAAAAAGTGGTGGTCACTTGTTAAGGTTGAAGCTTCAAAGGTCAAGGACGAATATCACACTCTACTACTTTGAAGGAAAATGCTTGCGTACAAGAAATCTCAAGAACTCTTCTACAAATTTAAATCATATTTATACCATAGTATGGAAACATTGAGTTCTACATTTGGTTAGCCTTTGTCGGTCATAGGTCAAGGTTAAAGGTTCAAAGGTCATAGGAAAAGCAGGAAGGGAAATATTGGGGGTATATCTATGTAATCTTTCACTCACTTCGTTTGTATTTTTATGTCAATTCATCTCATTTTCACAGGTCAGTCTGGTGCCAGTGATTACTTCGTTCATCCTGAGGGGACAGAAGGAGGCAGTCTTACCACGGAGGACCAGCCATCTAAAACCCCCGACAACCTGGAGGAACAGCCATCTAAAAACCCCGACAACCTGGAGGAACAGCCATCTAAAAACCCTGACAACCTGGAGGAGACTTCGAAGGGAGGGGAGATAAGTGGAAACCAAGAGGTGACAACTCAGCCTGGGGATACAGGTACAGGTGTTGATGTGAAGGACACTGAGATAGGTGATCATCCAGGGGAGACAATCCAGCAGAGTGAGGAGGTAGAACTAAGGGAGACAACTGTTGCTCCACAAGATTATCTGGCAGACTTAGGGAGCGATCATATTGACCACACATCTGACCCTATTGGAGATCTTCCCACCTGTACTGTGGCCGAGGTGAAAGACGGGCCTATCTCCATGTCAGAGTCAGGTAAGTGTATGTATGATCCTATATCTGCCCACCTGTACTGTGGCGGAGGTGAAGGACGGGCCCATCTCCATGTGAGCGATCATATTGACCACACATCTGACCCTATTGGAGATCTTCCCACCGGTACTGTGGCCGAGGTGAAAGACGGGCCTATCTCCATGTCAGAGTCAGGTACGTGTTTGTTTGGTCCTATATCTGCCCACCTGTACTGTGGCGGAGGTGAAGGACGGGCCCATCTCCATGTGAGCGATCATATTGACCACACATCTGACCCTATTGGAGATCTTCCCACCTGTACTGGGGCCGAGGTGAAAGACGGGCCTATCTCCATGTCAGAGTCAGGTAAGTGTATGTATGATCCTATATCTGCCCACCTGTACTGTGGCCTAGGTGAAAGACCGGCCCATCTCCATGTCAGAGTCAGGTAAGTGTATGTATGATCCTATATCTGCCCACCTGTACTGTGGCCGAGGTAAAGGACAGATCCATCTCCATGTCAGAGTCAGGCAAGTGTTTGTATGATCCTATATCTGCCCACCTGTACTGTGGCCGAGGTAAAGGACAGATCCATCTCCATGCCAGAGTCAGGTAAGTGTTTGTATGATCCTATATCTGCCCACCTGTACTGTGGCCGAGGTGAAAGACGGGCCTATCTCCATGTCAGAGTCAGGTAAGTGTATGTATGATCCTATATCTGCCCACTTGTACTGTGGCCGAGGTGAAAGACGGACCCATCTTCATGCCAGAGTCAGGTAAGTGTTTGTATGATCCTATATCTGCCCACCTGTACGGTGGCCGAGGTGAAAGACGGGCCTATCTCCATGTCAGAGTCAGGTAAGTGTTTGTATGATCTTATATCTGCCCACCTGTACTGTGGCCAAGGTGAAGGACGGGCCTATCTCCATGCCAGAGTCAGGTAAGTGTATGTATGATCCTATATCTGCCCACCTGTACTGTGGCGCAGGTGGGGGACGGGCCCAGCTCCATGTCAGAGTCAGGTAAATGTTTGTATGATCCTATATCTGCCCGCCTGTACTGTGGCCGAGGTGAAAGACGGGCCCATATCCATGTCAGAGTCAGGTAAGTGTTGGTATGATCCTATATCTGCCCCCCTGTACTGTGGCGGAGGTGAAGGACGGGCCCATCTCCATCGCAGAGTCAGGTAAATGTTGGTATGATCCTATATCTGCCCACCTGTACTGTGGCGCAGGTGAAGGACGGGCCCATCTCCATGTCAGAGTCAGGTAAGTGTTGGTATGATCCTATATCTGCCCACCTGTACTGTGGCCGAGGTGAAGGACGGGCCCATCTCCATGTCAGAGTCAGGTAAGTGTTGGTATGATCCTATATCTGCCCACCTGTACTGTGGCCGAGGTGAAGGACGGGCCCATCTCCATGTCAGAGTCAGGTAAGTGTTGGTATGATCCTATATCTGCCCACCTGTACTGTGGCCGAGGTGAAGGACGGGCCCATCTCCATGTCAGAGTCAGGTAAGTGTTGGTATGATCCTATATCTGCCCACCTGTACTGTGGCCGAGGTGAAAGACGGGCCCATCTCCATGTCAGAGTCAGGTAAGTGTTTGTTTGGTCCTATATCTGCCCACCTGTACTGTGGCCAAGGTGAAGGACGGACCCATCTCCATGTCAGAGTCAGGTAAGTGTTTGTATGATCCTATATCTGCCCACCTGTACTGTGGCGGAGGTGAAGGACGGGCCCATCTCCATGTCAGAGTCAGGTAAGTGTTGGTATGATCCTATATCTGCCCACCTGTACTGTGGCCGAGGTGAAGGACGGGCCCATCTCCATGTCAGAGTCAGGTAAGTGTTGGTATGATCCTATATCTGCCCACCTGTACTGTGGCCGAGGTGAAGGACGGGCCCATCTCCATGTCAGAGTCAGGTAAGTGTTTGTATGATCCTATATCTGCCCACCTGTACTGTGGCGGAGGTGAAGGACGGGCCCATCTCCATGTCAGAGTCAGGTAAGTGTTGGTATGATCCTATATCTGCCCACCTGTACTGTGGCCGAGGTGAAGGACGGACCCATCTCCATGTCAGAGTCAGGTAAGTGTTTGTATGATCCTATATCTGCCCACCTGTACTGTGGCCGAGGTGAAGGACGGGCCCATCTCCATGTCAGAGTCAGGTAAGTGTTGGTATGATCCTATATCTGCCCACCTGTACTGTGGCCAAGGTGAAGGACGGACCCATCTCCATGTCAGAGTCAGGTAAATGTTTGTATGATCCTATATCTGCCCACCTGTACTGTGGCCGAGGTGAAAGACGGGCCCATCTCCATGTCAGAGTCAGGTAAGTGTATGTATGATCCTATATCTGCCCACTTGTACTGTGGCCGAGGTGAAAGACGGGCCCATCTCCATGTCAGAGTCAGGTAAGTGTTTGTATGATCCTATATCTGCCCACCTGTACTGTGGCCGAGGTGAAAGACGGGCCCATCTCCATGTCAGAGTCAGGTAAGTGTATGTATGATCCTATATCTGCCCACTTGTACTGTGGCCGAGGTGAAAGACGGGCCCATCTCCATGTCAGAGTCAGGTAAGTGTTTGTTTGGTCCTATATCTGCCCACCTGTACTGTGGCCGAGGTGAAAGACAGGCCCATCTCCATGTCAGAGTCAGGTAAGTGTTGGTATGATCCTATATCTGCCCACCTGTACTGTGGCGGAGGTGAAGGACGGGCCCATCTCCATGCCAGAGTCAGGTAAATTGATGAGGTTACCTGGATGGCAGTATGAGATGGGAGAGTAGCCAACGCACATAGGTATGTTAACACTAGGCCATTTTGGTAATAGTCAGAGAATTTCCAAGGTATTTCTGACGTAACTATCACATGATTTTGCTTGTAAAAGCTAGATTTACAAGAAAAATCTCTCTTTATTTTTATCATAGACCTGCTGACCAATATTTGTTGTGACCTGGAGTTCCTTGTTGAAAATCAGAGTTATACGACATTCAAAGTGATTACAATGACTACCAGCTTGAAATGATTTTAATTACTACTTCTACAATAATGTGTATGATATTTAGGGAATGAAATTAAAGCTTTAGATATTTAAACAAAACATGCTACATACACCACAAAGATATCATAGCCCTCCCAACCATTAGGTGAAACTTCACACAAAACATTTCACTGGTTGTGTTGTAGGAACCTGTATACAATCAGTGACCTGGTTACCTTTGTAATTAAGATGTGTTAGATGTATTGTGATTGGTTAGCATATCTGTTAGATGTATTGTGATCGGTTAACATATCTGATAGATGTATTGTGACTGGTTTACAGATCTGATAGAAGTATTGTGACTGGTTTACAGATCTGATAGATGTATTGTGACTGGTTTACAGATCTGATACATGTATTGTGACTGGTTTACAGATCTGATAGAAGTATTGTGACTGGTTTACAGATCTGATAGATGTATTATGATTGGTTTACAGATCTGATACATGTATTGTGACGGGTTTACAGATCTGATAGATGTATTGTGATTGGTTTACAGATCTGATACATGTATTGTGACTGGTTTACAGATCTGATAGATGTAATGTGATTTGTTTACAGATCTGATAAATGTATTGTGATTGGTTTACAGACCTGATAGCCCTGAGACAACACTCCACCACAGAGTACCTACCCGGTATGCTACATTCCGAGTCACCTCTCGGCTTGCTTCCAAAATACCCCTCCTGGGCCCTCACCTGTCTCGGCAAGGGTACTCTGTACTCCCACACCCTAGGTAAGGACTGTTGTCACTGTGATGATGTCAGTAAGATGTTGTACTCCACACCCTAGGTAAGGACTGTTGTCACTGTGTTGATGTCAGTAAGATGTTGTACTCCGACACCCTAGGTAAGGATTGTTGTCACTGTGATGATGTCAGTAAGATGTTGTACTCCCACACCCTAGGTAAGGACTGTTGTCACTGTGATTATGTCAGTAAGATGTTGTCAATGCCATATTGATTTATGATGTGAGTATGATTTGTTATTTTTATACTGCCCGTGTGATGTCAATTTGATGTTGCCATTGTAATGTCATCAATGTGATGTCATATACTGTTGTTTTTACAATGTTAGAAACTGCCGAATACAGCCGATGTTCCTGATCTGGTAGTAACAGGATTTGGCAATAGCGTTCACTTGTTTCTCCATGTTCAGAGAACTGTCAAAGTATACCCCTAGGTTTTTAACAGCTGGAACAGTCTCAATAGTTCTGGCACCGACCTTGAGCTGGAGAGCCATTGTTTGCTGACACTTTGGGGAAAAGACGATTAGTTCCGTCTTTTCCTGATTAAGTTTAAGCATGTTGGCGTTCATCCAGATACTGATATCTGTCAGACAAGCTTCCAGACTTTCTGAGACTGTATTCCAACTGTC